TTCTCTTCCATCAACGCACAAAAAAAAAAAAAGACGACAAAAACTGGAAATATCCAAACTGTTTTTCACTGAATCCGAAAGTCTTCCACAGTTCAAGTCAAACTTTTTTTTTTTTAATTAAAATTATTATTATTTTTTACCCCCGATCATTTCCACGGGAGGGCATCTGACGCACGGGTGGAAATCAGGTCGTTGAACTTTTACCGTTTGTTGTCGAATCTTCTTGTGAGTGGATATTGTGCAATTTATTTCTTTTTTTTTTTACGAGACCAAATTTCCAAAACGAAAAGTCTTGAGTTTCATCGATTCTTAGTCGTTTAGTCGCATTAAAGAGGGGGTATGACGGACTTTTTTTTTTTTTTTTTTTTGGTTTTGTTTTTACGTTTTTGTCACGATCCGGACACAAAAAAGTCTCAAAAAGTTTTAAAAAGTTCAATTGTTTTATTGTTAAGTTTGAATTTAATTTTAAAAACGCTAAAACGCCTCCTGTGCCCCAAAAAACAAAGAAACAACAGAACAGAAAAGTGGACCTGGTGAACGGAGCAGAACGAGAACTAAACTAAACCAGGACTAAACCAGGACTAAACTAGGGCTAAACCAGGACTAACCAGGACTAAACTAGGGCTAAACCAGGACTGACATGGAACTAAACCAGGACTAAATTAGGACTAAACCAGGACTAAACTAGGGCTAAAACAGAACTAAACCAGGACTAAAACAGGACTAAACCAAGACTAAACCAGAACTCAAATTGGAATAAACCAGAGACTAAACCAGGACTGAAACTGGAATAAACAAGGACTAAACCAGGGACTAAACCAGAGACTAAATCAGGCCTAAACTAGGACTAAACCAGGACTAAACTAGGGCTAAAACAGAACTAAACCAGAACTCAAACTGGAATAAACCAGAGACTAAACCAGGACTAAAACGAGACTAAACCAGAGACTAAATCAGGCCTAAACTAGGACTAAAATGGGACTAAACCAGAATTAAAACAGGACTAAACCAGGACTGAACCTGGACTGAACCGGGACTAAATTTGAGACTAAACAAGGACTAAAACAGGACTAAATGAGGACTGAAATGGGACTAAACCAGGACTGAAACAGTACAGAGCAGTAAAACCGGAAAAAAAAAAACGTCCCCAGATTCACCCGACCAAACAAAAGACAAACTGCGGTTTCAGAATCGTCCACGCCAAGTCTGACTCATCTAGAGATCTCTCCCGGGCCCTTTTTCGAACCCTGTACGAGGCTCCGCCCACAAACCCACGTCCCCCACGTCCCTCACTCTCCCCGGCACGACAATCCGTTAAAAAAAAAAAAAAAACGCAAAATTGGACAAACAAACCTGATGTGATGAGCGCGCTGGAGTTTCATTGGCGCTCTGAAGGGGGAGCGGCTTAGCACAGAGAGCAGAGGGTTAAAGGGCGTTACAGTTAAAACCCCGGAGAAGTCAAATACCCCCTCTTTAAAAATAAATATTTAAAAAAAAAAAAAAAAAAAAAGAAAGAAAATCTAAAATGTCTTCCCTTTTTTTCTAACTTAAAATTCTCATGTTTTTATTTGTACGTTTTGAATTTGTATTTATTTTTGTTTTTTTGGGTTATTTATGTCAAAATATTGTTTACATTTCATACGTAAAACAAGCTGCTCATTTTCCAAAGCTTCATTTTTTTTTTTTTTTTTTTTTAGAAATTTTTTAAATTATAATTTCTTTTTTTTTTTTTTTTCGCGTGAATGTGCACTCCCCTTCGAAATAAAATAAATAAATAAATATCGAAAATCTTAAATCGAAATAGTCTAAAAAATCTCAAATTCTGGTGCCTTTACTTCCACAAAAACAGTGAAATTTTCAGTAGCATCGAAATTCTGTGAGAATTTTTTGCTTTTGCCACGAAAATGTTTTGAAATTTTGAAACTGTGGCCTTGAGTTTGGACTGTTGTTATTTATAAAACGTTTGTCATTGTTGTTTTTTTTATATTTTGAAATGTTTTGTTTTTTGTTTGTTTTTTTTGGTGTATTTACAATTTACCGCAAGATTTCTGGTTCGATTTCTCAACATGTGAAAATGTGAGACCAAATTTTGATTTTTTTAATTTTGGGATTTGAAATTTCATACAGTTATAATTTTACATTTTGAGTCACACGTCTCATTTATTGTTTTGATTTGGTTTTTGGGGAAATTATTGTTGGATTTTGAAGTGGATTTTGTGGTTTGTGCAATTAAAAAAAATTTTCCTTAAATTTTTCAAACTTCCATGATCAGGGGTTAGAATTAAACTAGGACTAAACCAGGACTAAACCAGGACTGAACCAGGACTAAAACAGGACTAAACCAGGATTTATTCAGGACTAAAACGAGAACCTAACCAGGACAAAACCAGGATTTTTTTCTGGACTAAACCAGGACTAAACCAGGATTAAAAAACTTAAACCAGGACTAAACCAAGACTAAACCAGGACTAAACCAGGATTGAACAAAGACTAAAACCAG